TTGAAACAGATGAGTCATAAACTGCAAAGTGAGAATTATACAATCAAGCAGGATTTAGTTCGTCTCCTTGAAAAGGAATCTTCTGAGTCTAAAAGCCAGTCAGAGAGTCCTCACAATTCTGATGAGGAACCTTCTAATAGTAGACAAGCCGTAAATCTAATTCGCCAAGTCAATTTTAGAAAATGGTATTCGAAAGTAACTATATTCGTCCAGAACTTTGAGTTCACCACAGTTGCCTTATTTGATTCAGGAGCCGACCTTAACTGCATCCAGGAAGGTCTAGTCCCTACCAAGTACTACCAGAAGTCTAGGGAATCCCTAAGTATTGCTTCAGGAAAATCCCTTCAGTTGAATTACGAAATACCAAAAGCCCATGTATGCCAGAATAAGATTTGTTTTAAAACCTCATTTGTCTTAGTCAAAAACATTACTGACGAAGTCATTTTAGGTTTGCCCTTCATAGCCTTGTTATATCCTTTTCAAGTAGATTATGATGGCGTCATATCTACTTATCTAGGAGAAAAGGTTAAGTTTGAGTTCCTTTCTAAACCTGAGTTGCATAACCTGAAAGCCTTGTAGAAACAGTCAGTCTCTAGGTCTGTCCAGGTTATTAGAAAAACCAACCAGTTGAACTTTCTGAAAGAAGAAATTAAGTTTAAAAGAGTTGAACAACAATTGAGTTATAAGTCTTTACAGTTGCAAATTCAGCAGTTTGAAAATAAGTTGAAAAATGAAATTTGTTCTGATCTGCCTAATGCTTTCTGGTATAGGAAACAACATGTCGTTAGTCTTCCTTATATCAAAACCTTTAGTGAGAAAAATATTCCCACTAAAGCTAGGCCGATCCAAATGAGTCAAGAGATTATGGAATTCTGTAAGAAAGAAATCCATGAGTTACTTCAAAAGAAAATAATCAGTAAGAGTAAGTCCCCTTGGTCATGTCCTGCTTTTTATGTCCAGAAGAACGCTGAACTAGAAAGAGGAGTTCAAAGATTAGTCATCAACTACAAGCCCCTTAATTCGGTCTTAGAATGGATTAGGTACCCCATACCTAATAAGCGAGACCTGATTAATAGATTAGAAAAAGCAGTTGTTTATTCTAAGTTTGATATGAAGAGTGGTTTCTGGCAAATCCAAATAGATGAGTCAGATAGATATAAGACTGCATTTGTCACCCCATTTGGTCATTATGAGTGGAATGTAATGCTGTTTGGTCTGAAAAATGCCCCTAGTGAATTCCAGAACATCATGAATGAAATCTTTAATCCTTATAGCCATTTTTCAATTGTCTATATTGATGATGTTCTTATCTTCTCTGAGTCTGTAGAACAACATTGGAAACACTTGTATAAGTTCCTCCAAACTGTCAAACAGAATGGTTTAGTTGTCTCTGCCAAGAAAATCAAATTGTTCCAAACCAATATCCGATTTCTTGGTTTCAATATCTGCCAGTCGCAAATCTCCCCAATTGATCGAGTCATCTAATTTGCTGATAAGTTCCCTGACCAGATTCTTGATAAAAGTCAACTCCAGAGGTTTTTAGGATCTCTCAATTATGTTTCTGACTTTTACCAGAACCTGAGAAAACAATGTAAGCCCATGTTTGATAGGTTGCAGAATAACCCTTCACCCTGGTCAAACGTCCATACAGAAGTTGTCAAACAAATCAAAGCTCATGTCAAGACACTTCCCTGTCTTGGTATACCTTCAGTTGATTTCTTCAAAATAGTTGAAACCGATGCCTCTGACATAGGTTATGATGGCATTCTTAAGCAAAGAGCCTGTCCAAATTCCCCAGAACAGATTGTTCACTTCCATTCTGGTGTTTGGACACAGTCGCAGTATAATTATAGTACTATTAAAAAGAAATATTAGCTATTGTATTATGCATTAGTAAATTTCAAGATGACTTGCTTAATCAAAAGTTTTTTATTCGAGTTGATTGTAAGTCTGCAAAACATGTTTTAGAAAAAGATGTCCAGAACATTGCATCTAAACAGATTTTTGCACGATGGCAAAGTATTTTAAGCATATTTGATTTTTGAAATTGAGTATTTGAGAGGAAGTGAGAATTTTATTCATGATTTTCTTACTAGAGAATTCTTACAGGATGCACAATGGCACCCAAGAAAGACAAGCAAAAAGAGTCAGCCCAAAAGTCGTCTGAGTCAGTTGCCCAGTCAAAATCATCCCAGTCGTCCCAGTCGCTCAGAATCCTCCCTCCTTCCATGAGTCAGAATAAGCCTGAATCTCCTAAGCAAATAGTTCCTTTTCCTGGTTGCACCCCAATCCAAGTTGCCTCACCAATCTCAGTTGCCAACAAGTTCTCTGCTTTAGGTTCAATAGTTGGTCAAGTTCACCCCAGTTACCAGTCAACACTAGTTTCCAGTTATGATCCTTTTGCAGGACCTTCAGTTGCCTTCAAGAAATCATCCCCCTATTTGCCCAAGAGTAATTCCCATTTATTCATCATTGAGCGTAATTATGATATTAATTCTGATCCAGTTGCCATTGCTAAGCATTATTTTCCTCCCGGATTTCATTATATGCCACCCAGTCCATATAAGTCCCTCAAGTACTATAGAGATATATTGCTTGAGACCCAATCAGTTGAAATTAAGCCGATAAGGGATCAAGATCATCCTGAGATCATCCTGAGATCATCCTTTATCATTCCCTTTATATACACAGAGTCATAAGCCAAGAATCCTTCAGTAGCCATCCCTATCAGTTGAAAACCCTCCAGTCGTCAAAATTACAATATAATTATTCCCATTATATTGAAGCCTGGTATTCTATTTTCCTCCATCAATCCGAGCATTTTAGCCATTCCTGGTTTATTAATTTTGACAATAAGTTTAAAAGTCCTTTTCCATACTGGTTTCTTCATTGGTGGGAAAAGCACGGTCCAGTTGATGAAATCCTTCCTGTTGTCGTTCTTGAGTTAATCCGCCACTTCACCAAAAAAGCCAAATTTGCCAGAGTTGATTTATTTTTTCCTAAACAAATGCTATTTCTTGCCCGGTATAAGGTTCCCTGGATTCTCAAATGGTCTTACAGGGTCACCATTGATACCAGAGTTCTTGCCCGCCAATTCTTCATCAAATGGTGGGACAAATTTGAAGTTGACAGAATTGCCAGATATGTCTACAATGATCTACCAGTTGATCCAGTTCCACATCCTGTCCAGCATCCAGTCTCTCTCACTGGATCCACCGCATCTGCCCTCTCAGTTGAAGGAAAGTCTAAGTCCGAGCTTAGAGAAATTGCCCTCCAGTTGCTGAATCAAGCCTCTCAAATGGATGATGATGAGGACAATGATTCTCCCTCGTCGTCTAGTTGCCAGCCTTTGCAAGAGCCAGATAAGCCCAAGAAATCTTGGTATGAAGACAGTCAAGATCACTATGATGCCTATGACTTAGGGTCTGACTAAGCATCCAGTTGCCGACATAATAGTTGCCCTGGTGGATATGATTGAAGCATCTTGTTAAAGCAGCCGCCCTGCTTTCCCGTGTCGCTCCAGTCTATATTCCCCTACATTTCACCCAAGAGTTAAAGCAAAAGTCGCCAGAGTAAAAGTAAAAGCAAAAGTTGTCCCGACACTTCACCATGAGTAAAAATCGCCAAAAGCAAAGTAAAAGCAAAAGTCACCTGAAGACAAAATTGAAAGCTGAATCGGGTTATCCCCATGCTCTCATCAATGTCTCCACTATCAGAGTTACTTTCGGTTACCATAGTTACTTTCTATGGAACCATAGTTGTTTTAATTACTTAACCATAGTTGCTTCTATCTATATAAGCTGGCCTCGGCCTCAGTTGTAAGCAGAATACAATTTACATTCTCAGTCTCTCAAAGATTCTCTCTAAACAATCTTAGAGAAATCACCTTTGTAAACACTAAGTGTTTTTTGTATCTCTGAAGTTGCTTAGTTGCTGTTGTGAATACTTTGTGAGTATAATAGAATTGCTATTTTCAGTTATCTCTGTTTTGAGTAATTTCATATAAGTACAAGTGTTTTACATTATTTATTGCCATCTTCGCGTGTGCTAGCATTGTCACTATATGGCAACATTTATGAGTTACCTAGCTCTATTGGTAATCTCATTCATTTGCGTTACTTGAATCTCTCTTGGACTGAAATCAAAAGGCTACCTGCTATAGTTTGCACTCTCTACAATCTTCAAACGTTACTATTGTCAAATTGTTCATCTCTCACTGAATTGCCTGCAGACATGAGAAAATTGATTAACTTGTGTCATCTTGATGTTTCTCAGACTAAAATTGAAGAGATACTAGTGAAAATGGGTACACTAGGGCCAGTTTGGCATTGTTGTGCTATGAAAATAATCACTGTCAGATTTGCTGTGAGAGAAAGCAGTTTGGCGTTTGGTAAATATTTTGTTATAAGTGTTGTTGGTACTAATTCCGCATAATCAGAAAATGATTCCCACATAATCATTAAACCTAGCGCCTCTTCGAAACTGATTCCTGCATAATCAGAAAATGAAAGCACCTCATTAGCTGCTTTCTCTTATAGCTTTCTCTCACAGCAAATTTTAACAATAAGTGATTTTCTCATAGTTTACCAAACGGGCTAGGCTTCCCAAAAATTTTAAAAAATCACTTATCACCCCAAATAAGCAATGCCAAACGGGCACTAAGAAGTTTGAGAAAGGACTGATGCTCAACGACTTCTCTCCTACTTCATGTTATCAACGATCGCAGAAATTTACTAACAAATCCCATCACAGTACTGCTGAAAAGTTTTCAACAAAGTCATGTTCATAAGGAAGTCGTGTTTGTGAAAGCATTAACAGAGTCATGTTTATGTTAAAAGAAAAAATTTCATGATATTCATCAGCCGCTACAAAAACTTGTTTCATTTTTCTAACCTAACCTAATAGCAAAAATTTGATTTTCAGAGAGTACTAATCGCACACATTTTACGACCAAGAAAAATTGGAATAAAACAAGCAAGCAATAGATTCTACTCGAATTATTTCAGATATAGGAACATCCAAAAGACCATGTATTAAGTAGGGAATTTGGATAGCCTCAAGAGAGTGCAAGGAGAGGAACAAATACGCGTTATTTACAGTACATCCTGAAGCAAAGCATAGAGGAAAATAAATTACAATGATGGAAAATCAAATCCTGGAAGGGATCAGAGGGGTGTTGTTCTGAAAGTATGCACTAGCAGCTGCAACTCCGCTTCCTAGCTTAACAGGGTAGCCCACGTCCCTAAGTACCATCTCGACACCAGCAAGACAACCCAACAATTGCAACTGGAAACAGAAGAAAATTTAAATAGCAAAAAGTGAGAAGATTACAATGAATGGGTGGTGCTGTATCAGATTCATTTTACATGCAAACTTCCCCCGTGATGTTCACATGTTAGACCACACTTTCACCCCATTCTCTTTTCAGCAACGGAAAAAAAAAACAATATGAGATCGAACCAGTAAAATTTATAGAAGATGTTTCTCTTGCCATCACGGCAGAACTTTGGGGATAAGTAGAGAATTCGGTGCTGTTTATAATCCTCAGTGAAAGAATGTATATTTAAGCCAAAAAGATGTATTCTCCCATACCAGTACTCATCGTGTTGGAGAGAGGGAGGGTGAAAAGGCTTTATCCAGTTAAGCCAAAAAGATCTATCCATTTCCTTTTCTATTTCCAAGATCCAACCAATTTCTAATCATGCTTGGAATATGTAAGATTTGAATAATTGAAAATGACATTACCTCATTCAGATTGCCAAGATGCCCTATTCTGAAAACCTTGCCAGCTATTTTGTTTAGGCCTAGGCCTAAGCTCAAATTGTACCTTTTCCATGCCCTTCTCACAATTTCTGTACTGTCAATGTATGGAGGAACAAGCACAGCTGTTACTGTGTCACTGAACCATTCCTCACTTTGGGTGCAGTTCTTCAAGCCCCATGCCTCCACAGCAAGCCTGCAGTTGGAAGTTGAAGGCAATGTTCAAATATATAGTGCTTAATACAAGTAAACACACGAAATTGGGACACGAATAGCAATCCCTGTAATTAGTTTTTGAATTTTGAGCTACATGAAATCCAGAGATCAATATGGACACCAGGAAAACAAAGTTCTACCTTGTTGCTTTTCCCAAACGGCTGTGTCTTGCAATCACGTTGTCAAGTCCTTCCTCAAAAATAAGATCAAGTGCTGTGCGCAGTCCATATAGCAACTGGATGGAAGGGGTATATGGCCAGTATGTTCCCAACTTATAGAACTTCAAGTAATCATTCCAGTCGAAGAATACTCTTACTGACTTTGCAGTTTTAGATGCCTCTAGAGCTTTTGGGCTTGCACACACAATCCCAATGCCAGTGGGGAGAGAAAGAGCTTTCTGAGAACCAGTTAAAGCTACATCTACTCCCCATTCATCCATACGGAAGTCAAGAGCACATATGGAAGACACTCCATCAACAAGAAAGAGAGCTGGATGCCTGTACTCATCTGAGAGATTAATAAAATACCATGAGAACAACTTAATAAAAACTCAGAGTGAAAGGAAAAAAGATGACAAAATTTATTGATGTCTACTTTTGGCAAGTCAAATTTAAACACTAGCAAGTAACCAGGGTACTAGGAAAGCTATAATTTGGTACTAGGAAATTGATCTGGTTATGCAACAACTAAAGAAAGGCTTGGATATATGTTATTGGGAACTGAAGTACTCTACGGCTCTGCCATGGATACCACCATGACTCATATTCAAGAGAAAATCCACAGTTCAGCATAATGTGTGTGATTTATTATTTACTGCATAGGTGTAGTATAGTATATCTTCAAAGAGCTTGTAGCCAAGAAATTAACTACAAATGAAAGTATGTATAAACAAAGACGTAACGGATGAATAATAGACAGCCACATGCATATGCATTTGATTCAGGAGCTTCCATATAAGTGGCTGTTGATAAACTACTACTACTTTAGAACTATGACGAAACATGTACAAAAGCAGATAACGAATAGAAAAATAAAGCTAACTTAGCCATATCTACGCTCTAGCGAAAGATATGCTTACCAAGTATTCTTCTCACTTGAGCTAAATTATTAGTAACTCCAGTGGCTGTTTCATTGTGAACAATGCATATTGCTTTTATAGTGTGCGCAGTATCTTCTGCAAGTTTTGATGCCAGAATGTCAAGGTTGGCACCTTGGCCCCATTCACTTTCTACAACATCCACCTTGAAATTAAGGCGCTGCTGCTGATCAATCCATAGCAAACTGAATTGGCCAATCAGGAAAGATACAATCCGGTCTCCAGGAGATAATGTATTTGTAAGTGCACTCTCCCAAGCACCAGTACCTAAACAATGATAGAGCAACGTTATTAAACTCAGCCAGTCACACTGAATTCACCTAGTTTTGAACATAAAAAACTTCTAGTTTTCGAATCGGTGTATAATATTCAAACATTAGAAACAACTTTTTCTTAGCAGCATCACTAAATCTTAAAAAGCAACCTTCACATATGCATCCATAAGATGTGATCAAAATCAGCTAACCTGACAAATTAGAAACTAAAATAAATAAATAACTTAAAAGCAACAACCATCTGGTTATTGAGATACCTGTGGTAGGGATCATAAATGGAGTTCCAGTTGTAGTCTTGAAAATCTTCTTCACATCCTCCAGCAGAATTTTTGTCATTGCTGGAACAGCAGGAGAACGATAATCCTCATTGTTTCTGTTCATAGCCCGAAGGACTGGCTCCGGAATATTGACCGGGCCTGGAACAAAGAGATGGTTCCTTCCGGGTCCATAAACATAGTCCATTTTTCACTCCTTGAAGGTTCACAGATTGAACAGGCCTTCAGCTGCAAAACCACCCCTTGAAACAAGTTAACCTCGGCCAGACAGAAAAAAAAAATATATTATAAATGTTCTGCAGGTTCCTGGTGTGAACTAAGCCTCAGGCCCATAAAAAGAAGTTAACCATAGCTAGAGGAGAAATGTATGCTTTCACACAAACACACACACTCATACACACATCCATACTATGTGACTATTTGGCCATACATACATTATAGATACAGTGCATTTTCTGTAGTCTCAAAATACACAAACTCAATTTTAATACCAGTGCTTCGTGGTACCACATACTCGTCTCAGCTTTGCAGAATGAACCAAGGGTTAATAATGAGACTAAAATTGGACTAAGGAATAGCATGAGGAGACTTAGTCTGTTGAGCCTTAGGAAAATAATTGAGACTGACAAGGTTAAGAACTAGTATGAGTGGTAAATATGGATAAAAGAAGAAAAATAGCAGAGAAAGTTAATACTTGCATTTATTTTCTGCAGTCGTAAATATAAGCCTTGATTTTCCTTAATTTTCTCTACTATTTCAGTAAAAGTAGCATGAGCTTCCTCTGTTCCAAGGGGCAACCCTCTGGCCTAAAAAAGAAACTACGACTAATAACCTTTGTGGCTTCATTTTCTCTACTACTTTAGTAAAAGTAGCACTGATGTTGAACCTACAATAAGAGGTGGCACAAAAGGGCAGAGAGATTTTAAAAAAAAAACACTACAAATTCGTATTAAACCACCCAGCCAGAGAGGATTATTTATATAAGGAAGGAACTTCTTGAGTCTTGATAGCACCTCATTTAGACAAACATTTTCAGCGAAGGGTTAAGAAAAAGGAAGCAAGTGTTCATGGCCAGTTCCATGAATTTGCAGGAGGTATACGTAGATATACATATATGGTGCATAAGTTATTCTCATCTTTCTTAAAGACAGGAAGTCTCATCTTTTTTTTTTTCTTTTTTTTTTTATACAAGCGATATTGTAGGAGGAGTAATTGAACCTTGGACTGGTAAATGTTTTTAACCACTTGAGCTACAAGCCCCTTGCAACAGGACATCCCATCTTTATGTACAGCTCTGTGTGTTTGTGATTTATTTATTGTACATACATAAATACATACACATAATGCTTGTACGGATTTAGATAGCTGTATTATTTGTTTATTGTAGAAAAACAACAATCGAATTAAATTCTATTTGAACCAAACTCAAACTGAACTAGAAACACCCTTCACATAAATGATAAAACAAGATTGGAAATCAGAACATGATGAAAAGCTAATGGAAAATTCCGGTCAAACAACAACAGATACACAAAATTAAAATTTGCATCGTGTTCGAAAAACGAAAACAAATACAACTATCTTCCATTCCACGAAGACAAAAGGGAATCATAACAAAATTGCAAGCAGAAAATTAAGCAACAGATGGGGTTATGGCAAAGCTTGAGCTCAACCCAGAAACAATCAGAGAAGGACCAATACGTGTAGACAGATGGATGGTTAGTTATATCAATAATTAATCAACCCAAAGAGAAAAGGAGTGAAGAAGAGAAGAGCAAGCTTTAAGTTATGAGATTACCCCGGAAGAGAATATTGTGCTGCGCAGAGAAGTGCCTGCTGCTCTTCAAGCTTAGAATTTTATTGGACACAGTGAGCAATGCCAAAGCGAGTACATATATTTCTATAATAGGAGCGCGGGAGAGCCACCCAACCTCATAGGAAGGGGGCCCCACCTTTTCTGAAACGTGGCAGATAAGAGCACGCCCAGGGCGAAGGATAGCCTTTTTGTTGGCTGCATTGGATTTCCAATTTAAAATTTTGGGGCTTTTGGTTTTTTATACAGGATATTGAGCAAAGGGCGAATCAAACAGGGGAAAATATTCTTAAGCACTTGAACTACGAACTTTTTACTTTTAAAATTCTAGGTTGAATGCTCTCTTTCTTTTTTTTCCTCTAATTTCAGACAGTTAAAAATAAATAATAATGATGTGGATGTATACCTTTCTTTACTAATCGAGATTTTCTACGTGTCCTTTCAATTTGGCTTAATCTTTAAACGAGCAAGACTAGAAAAATGAAAAAAGAAAATAATGTAAACCGAACAAATTAGGATAATGTAAGAGCCGTCCATGAAATCACAGGAAGCACTTGAAAAATGTATGGATATGAAATTAGTTGAAAATAGAAAAAATGGTTTCCGATATAAGAATTTATCTAAATAAATAATTCACGAAATTTAGAAGCCTGAGGTTGAGAAAAGAATGTGAAAGATAACGTGATAAAGGGCTGCCCGCCACCTATTTTGTAGGAACCAAGACCACAAAGGGCTTTTGATGTTGTATTCATTCTGTATGTTTTTTTCCTAAGTTTGTTTTTTTTCCAAATGATGTCTGTGATCCTGAAACTTGTGGGGCCACTTCTTTTTTTATTATTTTCATTCTACATGAGGCGAGGAGAGTAATTCTAGTAACTTTATCAGAGAGGCAGTACACGAAGTGGTTTATGAATCTAGTATCCCCAGTATTTCTCGAGCATGAAATATATAGTATGAGAGGCTTCATTCATGTTCTAGACCATTTCATAAGTTGAACATTTATGTTCCTAAATGGCAAAAATGAGATATCAGCAGCATCGTGTGATTTGTAGCCGAATTAATAGGAGGCCCCCCATTAAAATGCAATGAAAAATATAACAAACGATCATCACTTATTCTTAGTTTTTGTTTTGCCCCATCTGTATTTGTTCTGGCCGATGAGTTTCATATCCATGTCGATACAAGGTCATTATCAGAACAAGCGTACCAAATCTTTATTGACTTGGAAGGAGCTAGGAGTTTTTGCTCCAAAAAATGTCCTAACTGACCGAAACGACATTGTATCATTTCGTTAAATGACAAATAGAAGAATTGGTAAACTGTCGGAATTTAAATAAAAGAATTCGCAAACTATTGCAGTTAGCCAAGGTAGTGTGTGAGGTTGAGAAAATGCGATAACATTATAATTGTTTATACCAAAATGAACAGGCAATGACAGTCGGACACGTGGGCAAAACTGGAGCTATGGTAGCCTTCGGCACCTCGCTTCGACACCCAGCCTACCGATCCCATGATTAGGGCAACATCCCCACTAAGACACGTGGCGGTCCCACAATTGGTGTCCACAGTCCCACATCGAAATTCTAAATAAAATGCACACCTCCCAAGGTCTATAAAAGATGACAACGATCCCAAAATGGAGGTAATCAGAACTCAAGGCATACTGCCTATTGATCTGTAGTTCAACTTTACTAAATCCGTACTTACTCAAGCATCGGAGAGCCTTCGGTCGGTACCACACCGGTGCCCTAGGTCTTACCGAGCGTTTGTTATCTTGCAGATCACGCGCTCTATAGAGGCCCAAAGCATACCGAAGGCCCAACATCACTAAGTTACGTGGGAAAGTGCCGAACCATTTTTCTGCGTCAACAGTTTGGCGCCGTCTGTGGGAATACAATCTGAACCAACCCACTATCCCTAAAAATAAAATAAAATAAAATAAAATAAAAACACACATGGGGACCACTTCAGTACCGGTATTTCTGCCCGAAGAAGGGCCATCGTTCGGAAGACAGAGCGGAGCTAGCCCAGCGCTGCCCCATGCACTCCATTCGGCAATTCGCCCATTATGCAACTCACTGCCGAAGCTGAGCTTCTGGCTCAGATAACCTCCCTTCGGCAGGACATGGCTAAGTTGCAAGAACACAACAACTTTCTTTCGTCCAAAGTGGACGAAACCCAGCAACTGCTCAATCAGCAGCAAACGCAAACCATTCAAACAACTCAATCATCCCAGAGCCTGCAGACTCCTAGTCGGCACAAGAAAGGTAAGAAGGGGGCAAAGGCAACGCCTGCACCCTCCAAGCAGTTGGTAGTCCCGGCACCTCTGGACCAGCCGCATATACCAAAGAAAGTTTATGTCGATTGACAGCATCGGATCAACGACAAGGAGGCCGAACGGCAGAGATCTCCGATTAGGATCAACGCAAAACTCTGAGACTCATGGTTATAAGTCACCGATTCGAAAGACTCGGGGTTTACAATTCACCGAAGAGTCAGATTCCGAGTATGTCCCTTCCAAGACTAGCTCCACCTACCGTTCGGCAACGTCAACGAGGTACTTGGAAGCCAGGCCCGTAAGCCCCCAAAAATGTTTGGAAGACTACAGTTTCGAGGAAATCCCGAGCCAAGATCCCGTCGTTCGATTTCTCTTCCAGAGAGTCCAGAAAATGGAAAACGACCGAGTTCGCTCTCAGGAACCAGACTGGGGAAAGCTTCGGCCAGGACCATTTACTGAACGTATCAAGCGTTCACGACAGGTTAGAGACATACAACCTCTACGTATACCGTTCTACACAGGGGTGGAAGACCCCTTAACACATCTTCACTACTTTCAATAGGCAATAGGATGCAAGGGGCTTAGTGACAAAGGGCAATGCCTGCTATTTCTGTCCTCGCTTATAGGGGCGGCTTTGAATTGGTTCTACCAATTGGAACCGAAAACGGTGGACTCTTTCGACGAACTGGGACAGATTTTCCTCAATCACTTTATGATCCAGACAAACCGTCTATACTCTGCCGATTATCTGTACATGATTCGGCAAAGAGAAGACAAGCCCTTACGAGAATACGTTGCATGCTTCAGTCATGAATACTCGAAATGTCCAAAAACATACGATATGGCAGCCTACGGCACCTTCAAGAGTGGCCTTCAGTCCTCACACTTTCGGTACCTCGTGCACAGTAGCAACTGGCGCACCTATGACAAACTAATGAAACAAGCGGCAATTCATGTCAAAGCTGAATATTTCAACTCAAAGTTCGGACCTTCGGCTCGGCATGAGGAACCAGCCTCGAATGGCTACCCCAGGCAAGGATCAACGTATGGCCCTAGGAGAAATGATGAACCCTCGGCAGGACACAAACGAAAGGATGACCGTGATAATCGGCAAGGTGGCTTTAAGAAAAGATGAGGAAAATACGGTCGCAATGACCACCGTGCACCACTATCGAATCAAGACCGCGTTCAGGAAGTATTCACTCTGTTGAATACAACTTACAATGCGGTCTTGATGAATGAGCACGAGATAATACCCAAGCCAAATCACCGAAAGCCCAATTGGCAAGATAATCGGGATATCGACAAATTCTGCTGATACCACCAGCATAACAATCATAACACCGAAGACTGCATAAGTCTGAGGAAGATCGTCGAACGACTGATTCGGGAGGGAAAATTGGATCAGTACATCGCCAGACCACCGCAAGCGCCAGTCCCGAATGCAAATCGGCAGATAAACATGATCAGCACCATCAGTGGAGGCCCCACTCTGGCCGGACAATCTAATCGATCGGTAAACCAGTACGTACAAGTTTTGTACACTACCCTCAAGTTTTCGGCATAGATGCCGACCGGCATCGCAAGGTTCCAAGCGTAAGATGGGAGCCCATCACGTTTTGTGAAAAGGAGGAAGAAGGGATCCTTTACCCTCATGACGACCCGATGATCATTCGAGCTGAAATGGCTGATTACGATGTCAGAAGGGTACTGATCGACACCAAAAGCTAGGTAAATGTGATTTTTTCTGACGCCTTCAAAGGATTGAGAATTGCCGACAACATGGTCAGTCGGCAGATAACACCTTTACTTAGTTTTTCCGGGGATCTGGTCCAGCCAGTCCGTAGTGTCAGTTTGCCCATCACCTTCAGTGTTGCCCCTCAGAAAACAATGATATATGACCAGTTCCTCATTGTGGACTACCCAACGTCATCATCGGACGAACGGCACTCACCGGAATCAAAGCTCACTTGTCCCCCCACATGTTGCTGATGAAGTTCCCAACCTGCAACGGTACTAGCATTATCCGAGGAGATCAACTCAGCGTGCGGACGTGCTATGCGACTACCCTAAAATCGGTAGCTTGCTAACCTCCAATGGAAGCCATGTCTGTGCAAGGGCTACCGAACGGTAGCAGGCCAATAGACGACCCTAGAGAGAAAACCCCAACGCCAATAGCGCAACCAGCCGAAGAACTGGAAATAGTAGTGCTGAACGAAGAACATCCCCACCGGTGTGTAAAGATCGGCACCACACTCAACCCCCACCTCCGGCCGCAGTTCATTGACTTCTTGCGACACCATGCCGAGGTCTTCGCTTGGTCTTATGATGATATGACCGGCATATCCCCAAAGGTCATCAGCCACAAGCTCAGCATCTCCCCTGCCTATAAACCTGTCAAACAGAAGCGTCGTTCGTATGATGTCGAACGGTATGAAGCCATGCTTACCGAAGTTGACAAGCTTAAAGCCATCGGCTTTACAAGGGAAGCTACTTATCCTGTCTGGCTTGCAAATTTGGTCATGGTTCGAAAGGCCAATGGCGGATGGCGAATGTGTCAGGACTATACCGACCTGAACAAGGCCTGTCCGAAGCTTTCCATTGCTCAGGATCGACCAGCTTGTTGACACAACTGCAGGTCACGAGCTGCTCAATTTCATGGACGCTTATTCGGGATACAACCAGATTTTCATGCACCCCGCCGATAGCGAACATATGGTATTCATCACGGACAGGGGGCTGTACTGCTACAACGTCATGCCGTTCGGCTTGAAAAATGCGGGGGCAACATACCAAAGACTGGTCAACTGAATTTTCGTTAAACACATCGGCAGCATCATGGAGGTATATGTCAACGACATGCTGGTGAATAGCCGAACTGCAGGAGGGGCATCTAGAGAACTTAGCCCTTATGTTTGGTATACTGAAGGACTACCGAATGAGACTAAACCCAACGAAGTGCGCCTTCGGTATGTCTTCGGGTAAGTTTCTCGGCTTTATGATCAGTCAGAGAGGGATCGAAGCAAATCTCGAGAAGTTCAAGGCCATAATCGACATGGAGAAGCCAAAAACACAGAAGGACATTCAAAGCCTTACCGGACGTGTCGTCGCCTTGACAAGTTTCATTTCCAAGGCTACCGATAAATGCGTACCGTTCTTTAGAGCCTTGAGATGGGGCAAACAGCATATTGCATGGACTGCTGAATGCGATAAGGCATTTCAAGACCTAAAGAACTACATGAATAAAGCACCGTTATTGTCAAAACCACTTCCCGGAGAAATTCTCCTTCTCTACCTTTCGGTATCAAGCACTGCCGTCAACTCGGTGTTGATACGGAAGCCAGAGAAGGCAGAGCTACCGATATTCTATGTCAGCAAAGCGCTGCAGAGCGCAGAGCTTCGGTATCCCCCCTTGGAGCAGCTAGCACTAGCCTTCGTCGTCTCAGCTCGAAGGCTCCGCCCATACTTCCAAGCGCACGAGATCACGGTTTTGAGCAATCAACTGCTTCGGTAGGTGCTACAAAAGCCATAAACATCCGGCCGATTGATCAAATAGGTAATTGAGCTCGGAGAATTTGACATACAGTTCAAACCGAGGCCTGTCGAGAAGGGTCAGGCCGTCGCCGCCTTCATTTCGAAGCTCACACCTTCGGCATTACCGAAACCAGCTAGTCCAAATGCTAAAGCCGTGGAACCAGAAAGGCCGAATGCCAAACGCCTTGATCCTTCCGTCCCTGTGTGGATTCTACATGTCGATGGATTGGTAAACCAACAAGGTTGTGGGGCTGGTCTGGTGTTGACTACTCCAGACGGAGCCAAGGTCGAGTATGCCCTCCGATTCAACTTCAAAACCTCCAACGCCTTCGACTAACCAAGAGCATGAGCACAAAATAAATCAGTATTCACAGTGACTCCCAACTAATAGTGAATCAAATAACGAAAGACTTCGCAGCAAAGGATGCCTCCATGTCCGCCTACCTATCGGCAGCCCACTAACTCCTTAAAAAATTCCAGGCATACCAGATTCGGTAGATACCCAGGACCAAAAACAGCCATGCCGATGCGCTAGCTCGATTAGCCTCGGCAATAAACGACAAAATCGGGAGAAAGGTGCCAGTGGAAATCTTGTCTCAGCCAAGCACGATAACCACCGAAGTATGTATCGTACGGTACGAGAGCACGTGGATGTCCCCAATCTACGCGTACCTAACGAACAGTACCCTTCCCCAAGACAAGTCTGAAGCACGTAAGCTATGCTACCGATCGGCAAGATGCACAGTCATCAACGATGTCCTGTATAAACGAGGCTACACCACGCCGTATTTGAAATACCTCACCACAGAGCAGGGGGACTACGTCCTTCGGGAGATACATAGTGGCGTATGTGGTGACCACTCGGGGTCCCGATCGCTGGCACACAAGGTTTTCTGACAAGGGTATTACTGGCCGACCATGCACCAAGATGCGAGCGCCCTAGTGAAGAAATGCGACAAATGTCAGCGGTTCGGCAACGTGCCTCATGTCCTTGCCGAACCCTTAGCACCGATCGTGAGCCCGTGGCCTTTCGCACAATGGGGACTAGACTTGATAGGTCCAATGCTACAGGGCAAAGGTCAGGTCAAGTATGCCGTAGTCGACGTGGATTATTTTACCAAGTGGGTAAAGCCGAGGCCTTGGAAACTATTACTGCAACTAGGATGGAAGACTTCATCTGAACGAACATTTGCTGTCGATTCGGTATCCCCTATGCCATCATCACAGATAATGGTAGGCAGTTTGATTCGGAAGTCTTTAGGCAGTTCTGCACTCGGCTCAAGATCAACCTATTCTTTGCTTCACCAACTCACCCTCAGTCGAACGGTCAAGTCGAGGCAATAAACAAGATCATCAAGAAGCTACTGAAATGGCAGCTTGACAAAGCCAAAGGAGCTTGGTCGGAGAAGCTTTCAGAAGCATTATGGGCCATTCGGACATCTTACCTAACGGTAACTGGGGAAACTCCCTTCTCTCTCGCCTTCGTTTCGGAAGCAGTGGTCCCTGTAAAGATCGGCGAGTCCACTTACCGAACAGAAACCTACTCTCCGAAAGCAAATGAGGAGGCACTTGCATTGAGCCTCGACCTGATGGAAGAGCGCCGAGCTCAAGCCAACCTTCAGAATGAAGCCTACAAACAGTGCGTCTCTCGATACTACGACTCAAGAGTCAGGTCTTGTGCTTTCCGAATCAGGGACTGGGTTATGCGAAAAGTTTCTCTGGCAACGAAGAACTCCACGGAAGGAACCCTCGGAGCTTCCTGGGAAGGACCTTATGAGATCATCGGCATCCTTCGATCGGGAACCTATCGGCTCAGAGACTCCAACAGCAAGACCCTCGATCATCCTTGGAACGTAGACCATTTGAAATACTATTTTAAATGAAGTCACCAAGCCTATGGCAGGATGAAAATATAAGTCAATAAAATTGTAATCTTGCTTTCGGCACCAGTTAATGAAAAAGCCTTCGGCTTATTTTTACTCACAACCTTCGGTGTGATTGTTTACTTTCTCTTTGATTAAAAGATACAGTCGATACCATCGGTAACGCACCGATTAAAGGTTCACTTTCAAAAGTTGTTCTTCTACTAGCCTTCGGCAGTTAATCCTGTATTTACATTCGGTAATTAAAGATGTCTTGAGTTCAGTCTTTACTAGCCTTCAGTAGTGAAAGATTAGTTCTGATTCCTTTACCAAGTGATTAAGTCCTAGTTTGTTACCGATCTCAGGCTCACTTGAAACAAATAGCTAAAAAATCCTTGTTAGCCCTCAGAAACAATGGAAGAACATTGTAGTTGATAAATTCCTAACGGCTACTGATAGTGAAGGCACTTGACAAATAGTTAAAGAAGCTGAAATTAAAATTAAAATAAAACATGCCCTCGGCATCAAGGTGTTCAAAATAACTGCCTTATGGCAGATACAGAAAATATACAACATAAAAGGATCAGGCATCATCAGTAGCATCGGCATCAGCAGGAGCTTCGGCGGCAGCGGAGCCCTCGGCGGCAAGGACCTCTTCTGGAGCGTCCTCCCCCTCGTACTCCTCAATCATGTCTTCATTAACGCCTTCTGGAAGTAGGGGAGGATCGGCAATAAAATTGAGATTCAGCTTCTGCCCTGGATTGTACCGTTTGAAGCGGTACATAAGGTCTGCCATATCCGAGCCCACTTCCCTGTCCAATAGGATAGAGAACTCGGTTGACAAACGGTAGCTCCCAACCGCCTCCTGGACGGCAGCCTCGATCTCGGCCGCCTTAGCCCGCTAGGACTCCTCCAACGCCACCTGCACTGCCTCATTTGCCTCCTCAGCCTCCCTTGCCGTCAGCTAAGCAGACTCCAGACTTTGCCTCGTAGGCCTTGACTTGCCGTTCGGCAGCCTGCATATCCTTGACGAGATTAGCGTGGGCCTGGAGCACCTGGCCTACCTCGGCAACCTTGGCTCGGTCATCCTCGTAGGCCTTCTTAGCACGCTCGGCAGCGGTAATGGCGCGCTTCACGCACAACCAGATATACATCAGTGAACGGTATGAAGCCTGAAAGACCAAGAGAGGTCAGTATGGGATCAAATGGTAATGACAACAAAATAAAAGAGAGGAAAATGTGAGGGAGCCTTACCGAGGCCTGGAGACGGAAGGCGCGCCCATCCTCTTCCCGAATGAGCTTCTTCGGCAGCTCCTCGATCTCAGAGAGCTCCATTTGCGAACCAAGAATCATATGGTTCGCAAACTGGACTGACTTCGACGGACACGCAATCGTGAATGGCTCTGCCGAGTTGTCATCATCTTCGGCGGCAAGAGTGACCCTCGGTACCTCCCCCTGCCGACTCCACTTGGGCGCCGGCTTCGCCTCCAGATCCACCGTCACTGGCCTTTTACTGGCAGCCTTGGAGGTGGTGGCGTCAGTAGCCTGCCCCCGCGTTGGCGTAGAGCTTACCGCTGCCGTACCAACTGACGCCGTCTCGGTGTTGAGTTGCCTCAGGCGATCGGCAATGGTTTGATCTTCCGAATCAACCCCCGTCAACGGCGTAGGCACTGCCTCCGCCTGCCGTTTCGTCCTCTTCCCTTGAAGGCCCATCATCAGGCGCCGCTTGGAGTACTTGTTCATCCTCTTCGCCTCGGCAGCTCTCCTCTCGTCCGTCACTGCACAAAGTGAAGATCGGTAAGCCGTTGTTATAATATAAGTAAACACAATGAACAAGTATACTTACTTTCGGCAGGGTCGACGAGCTTGGCTTCGATGAGGTTTGCAGTGAAGAGAAACTAGGGTTACACCCTCTCAACGACAGGGATTTTGCACCTCACTCTGTCGATTTGCCGAATCTCTGACTGAGTCGAGATCGGCTGCTTCAGTTTGCCTACATGAGAACAAAATAAGGTTAGTCACAAGAGAAGTACGGCCGCAGACTTACAGAACGGCACGTCAACCTACCGGCTATTTGGAAGGTCGTGGGGATGGGGAAGCGGACAAGCTATCCCGATGGCGACTCCCAGTTTCCCGAAAAGGGCACCTACCAATTCCTCCAGGACTTCTGAGAAGTCGGCACCGCACTCACAAAGTAGCCTTTCTCGGTAGCCCGAAGACAGTTCGCCTGTACCCAGCCTCCGTGATCGGCACTCTTTGATTTCGTAACGCAGTACAGGTACGAGAACGGCTCGTACGAAGGCTTCCCTTCGCCGGCCATGCCGAAGGCCGTGACCACTCCCATCAGGGTCACCCAGAAGTTGGAGTTAAACTGGCCTGGAGCGTAGCCGATCTGGGCAGTATCCTTTGAACTGCTGACTGCAACGGCAATCGAACGCCTTGAAGAAGGACGTCAGTGAAGAAGACCACCTCGCCGTCCTTCGGCTTACTGAGCGATTCGGTAGGACCCGAAATCCTCATCCTGACCGAATCTAGGATATGGTACTCCACCCGGTACTTGGCGATCTCCCGTTCAGTAATCTTGTTCGATTGACGAGCAGCACTGGACCCGCCGTTCAGGTTTAGGCCGAAATGGTTACCATCACGGTAGACCGCGGCCAACGGCTCTGGCTGCCTTACCATGAGCCCCTTACCGATGTCATGGGTGGGGACGGAGGCTGTGCCTTCACCGAGTATCTCGACATCGGCGTCTTCTCCGTCCTTGGCACCGATGTTTACGGCAGCCTCACTGTCCGAATCTAACAGACCGTCCGATGACTCCCCCTCGAAAGCGTTCGGGTCTCTCTCGGATAGTGACTCGCTATTAGACATCTACAAAAAGAGAAAAGGAAACTAAGGCTCATGCCGAATACTAGTCTACCAATCTCTACATCGCTACCTATGGCGACTAGACTACCAAACGGAACCTTATGACTAGTCTAGTTCATGCCAAGGAAGGATGTGACAGCAATAATTAAACGAGAGAGAGTAAAATGAGGGTGCCGAACGATACCTTAACTGAAGCTGTAAAGGAAGTATCGCTTACTGAAATGCCCAACGTCTCGTCGGAAATCGCTAATTGCCGATAGCCTTGTCAGAAATCGCTTCTGAGTGTCGTTCGCTGCGCTGGAAATCGCTTTGACTGCCTTTTGCTCTCGTCGAAAATCGCCTCAACAGAGCTCTCGCTTCTCTCACAAATGCAAAGTGATCCTCTCTTTCGGAGCCACCCCTATTTATAGGGCGAGGGTTCGCAACGGTACGCCTCGAAAAACCAAACGGCTCATTAATGCGACACCTAATTAGTGCCCACGCCACGTGGCATTCATCATGTGGATGACCTGACAGCACGCGGGGCACGAAAGACGAAGAGCCCTCCAGTCTCATCGCATGTCAACTCAACGCGACCTTCTGACTCTCCCGACGTCAGCTTTCGGACGGGAACGCACGGAAGTGCAAAGACTGTGCCCCTCCATCCACCGAGTTACCGAACGGTAGGATAGCATTTTCATGCCGAAGATAATTTCAAGTCCCCTTCCGAGAACTCTCGCAAGAGAACTTGGGGGACTCCTGTTTATACCAAAATGAACAGGCAATAAGAGTCGGACACGTGGGCAAAACTAGAGCTATGGTAGCCTTCGGCACCTCACTTCGACATCCAGCCTACCGATCCCATGATTAGGGCAACATCCCCCTCTGAGACACATGGCAATCCCAAAATTGGTGTCCACAGTCCCACATCGAAATTCGAAACAAAATGCACACCTCCCGAAGTCTATAAAAATAGACAACTATCCCAAAATGGAGGTAATCAGAACTCGCGTCATACTGCCTATTGATCTGTAGTTCAATTTTACTAAATCCATACTTACTCAAGCATCGGAGAACCTTCGGCCGGTACAACACCGATTCCCTACCAAGCGTTTGTTATCTTGCAGATCACGCGCTCTACCAAGGCCCAAGAGCATACCAAAGGCCTAACATCACTAAGTTACGCGGAAAAGTGCCGAACCATTTTTCTGCGTCAACAAGAATAGATCAAGATTTCGCAATAAAAAGAGTAACCTAAAACCATAAATACTATAATAAACAGTAGATGGTTCTTCGGCAGAATTTTTAATCTATTCTTGCTATGTAACCAATGAAAGATAAATATGGATATTGGAAAGTATTAACTTATCAACAATTCAATTAAAAAATCTCCAAAACTTGGGAGAGAAAATACCACCAACTACTTCAAAATTGATAATGTACACTTTCTGAAGGCGTAATACATTCTCCTTCTGTATGTATATATCAGATGAGTAGAAAAACTTTTTCACTAAATTGCTCTATATACGTGAACATAATACCAACCGAACTCATCTTCAGAAAACGAAAGATAAAAAAATATGGCAGCAAAATTCCACAAGCCTTGCAGACGACAGGCAATCCTTGCATCTTGTTCAATGATGCAAATCCCATTTTGTGGACCTGTTCCGATCGTCCCAGAAAGTAGGATCTCCAAGAACTTATTCCCATGGTTGACAAAAAAAATTCCAGAGAATATATATAGGCTGAAGTCGGAAGGGCTGAAGTCGGAAGTGCTCCCAGGTGAGAGCCAGTCGCCTTCACTTTTTAACCAGCTGCTTTCCTATTGTATGCAACACTACTTGATACCTGTAAAACCTTGTTTTTGGGCTAAACCTGCCTGTCGCATCCTATAAGGCCTTTCATTCGCAACGCGTTTATTTTCAGGTGGTCCTGCACCAAGAATCCCTAGTGAGCTTGGATCGGTTAACCGAGTACCATTGCTGATAATTCTTTGAGATGAGGCCTGAACTGGTAAATTACTATCGGTTTCTCCTCTCCTCCTTCGTTTCCATGCTTCAGATTTAGCTGTATCATGACCCTTCTGAAGTTCAAAAGATTGATAGTTGGTCACATTTTTGTACCCTCTTTGCCTGTCCGCATGACGGGAAAATGGAGTAGGGTCACTGTCTCTGCCAAAGGGACCAGATGCAGAGCCATTGATGTGGGAAGGCCCAACCTCCTCATCCTGCTGCAGTATAAGTTTCGAATAAATGTCTTGAAGTCTCTCCCCAGACAGGTTTGAAAAGGTAGAAACATAGTTCCACAAGCGCTTTGTCATCTCTGTAAATGACCACTACGTTAATAACTTAAAACACATACCATGAAAAGGAAAAAGGAATTTGTTACATATGCAGTCCTAGAGCTTGTCAAATGTAGGGTCAGATGATTATTCTGTTAAGATATTTCTCAACTGAACTTAAAAACCAACAAAATCCAAGGCACGGAATTGAATTCCATACATATACCATCCCCGAGCTTGTCTAAAGTGGGTGTTTAAAAATTATTTTTTTAAAATTTACATGAGAGAGATGGCAACAGTAGATAGAAAAGCAATCAGGAATGAGAAAAATAAATCATACAGGACGAAGTACATACTATCTTGTCCATGTGGTTCCTCCTCGTTATCTAAAACAATTCGGTCTATCCTTCGTCCAAGAAGCTTTAAATAATTTTTAACTTTTGCAAGCACCTGAAAGACAAAATATGTGAATTAACAGTACCAGCATCAAACGGATGATTTAACAAATAAATGTGACAAAGACAAATGAAAAAAGCAAGACTAAGATGTACCGTATCCCTTGGAAGATTGGCACTAATCGTCTGCAACCGTTCAAGACGATTCAATGTCTTAATTGAGTCAGCCATCATCTCTTCACACCATTCCATCCATTTCTCCTCCTTAAACTTCTCATACACTTCTTCATCATCTGACATTTCACCCTCCTCTTTCACTAAAGGTTCAACTTTCTGGGGTTTCAAAGGTCTGTTCTTGTTCATTTCGATATTGAGTCTAGAAGAACCGGCTTTTCCTTTCTTGATGCCCCTGTGAGCTAAAGAAACAATGAGAGGATTCTCCCTCTCCTTAGAAGCCTTACGACCCACTTTAGCATTTGCATTCTTCCCCCCATAAACTGCAATTTCCTGTTTACAGATGTCATCTTCATCAACTCGTGTAAGTAATACCAAAATAGTTTACCAAAATTATTCAAGTGCCTCAATCTCCTTCAGAATGCACTACAAGGCACTCACACAGTCATGCACAGGCAAATGAACCAATTACAATGATCAAAAGTATCTGGACGAATCAGCTTAAGCATGGAAGACTAATGTTAGACCTAGCATAAGTTTGACACAAATTCACAACAATTTCTTATATCAACAATCATTTCAGTCCATTCATACGGTTTACAATAAATTTCACACCAACATCAAACCAATGCGATCCTAGACTCCAGACAATCTTGAAAACCGAAAAAATAATAATAATCATATTTTCGCACTCAGCATAATTTCCAATTTTTTTCTCTTCCTCATCTGAACCAAATTAAAACTCTTCTCCCGCCCCAACTTTCAGGGGTAGCATTATCATTGCCTTCATTTCAGTATTAACTAGTGTCGAGCGGGATGGACGGATGAAAATTTTTAACCAATAAAAAAATTCTCTCAAACTAAATGTCAAATGTGGCTCAAGATTTTTTTTTTTTTTTTTTTTTTTT